CCATCACTTCCTTTCATCTCCCATCGCTCCTTTTCGTCTCCCATCACTCCTCTTCGTCTACCATCACTCTTTTTCATCTCTCATTATGTCCTATTTCTCCTTTTTGTTTCCTATCACTTCTCATTACTCTTTTTTACTCCCTTTCATCTTCTATTACTTTCCACTACTCCACTGTTATTTCATTTTTTTATTAGCATCTTTCTCCTTGATCATTGTAATTTACTTATCTTTTTTATTTATTGTTATTGTAAATATGGTGATTTTTTTCTTTAAAATCGTAAATGTGTGACTTAAATTTTAATATTTGTCAAATAAAATTTCATTAAATAAATAATTATCATTATTGATGTTTATCAAAAGTTAATATGCTGACTGCCAGTTCTTATAACGGGTACCCGCCGTTTCTTATAACAGGTACCCGCCGTTTCTTATAACGGGTACCCGTCATAACATATAACGTATATAACGCTATGAAATATAGCGTATTAAACGTTATTTTTTGCAACAGGTTACCCCTGAAACAGACAGAACAGGGGTAACCCACCGTGAAATATAACGTATACGCGCTACAAAACATAGCGTATACACGCTATGTTTTGCTACGCACTTTTGACCATGGCAGCTTTCCATAGAAATATAGCGTATTAAACGTTATTTTTTGCAACAGGTTACCCCTGAAACAGACAGAACAGGGGTAACCCGCCATGAAATATAATGTATACGCGCTACAAAACATAGCGTATACACGCTATGTTTTGCTACGCACTTTTGACCATGGCGGCTTTCCATAATTATTATATGATCAACGGTTAAAACGATCAACGATAATCTGTTCTCAGTACGATAATCAATCACTAAAATTAAATAGCTTTTTAAAATAATTTTTGATATAAAGAAATAAATAATGAAAAATTAATGGTTAAAAAATTCCGGTTTAAGAATTTTTATAATAATCCTTACGCACTCATGACGTCACCTTTATCATAATTTTTCTCACGTAATCTCATATTTTCATGGAGAATAGTAGCTGAGATTTAAATTATATTAGATTGGCTCTTTGTGCCATCTACTAATATAATCGTCAGGAATTCTGCAGTATTTCTTGGAATAAATAATGATAATAATGCTAATTTATTTATTTTGCAAATTTAATTACCTGTTTCGCTTATTTTATCAGATATATACGGTATACAAATAGTTTCTGAGGAAAAATATTTTATTTTAACCATTGTCAATTATTGTTTGTTTCATTTATGCAATTGTTAGATAAATTAATCAAATGTTGAGAATTTCTTGTACAATCGATTAAGTCTTCGAAATAAGAGAAACATAGCACAAAATGTCATATAAGTGTCTGTTGATCTTATAATACTTCGACTTCGTAGTACTACCTAATTCCTTTAACATTCTCAAGAACGGTTAATATTCCAAAAAAAATTTATTGTCAAGTGGAAGATTTTTATTTATAACTGTGGTACTTTTTCTGAAAGGATGGCAATACTTATTATAGGTTGGAAATTTTATATTAGTTCGTGATGTAATTAATGCTTTATTGTTTGTCTTTTTTACTTTATATCATTGAGAAGTGTAGCATTTGCTTTGTGATTTTCAATAATGAGAGAAATTTAAAAAAAAGATTTTAAGCTACCGAAACAGTAAATTATATTTCTTTTGTACTGTAGAACTACCCCGCACCTTTACGTGCATTAATTGCCACACAGGTGGTATGCAGAAAGAGTTTTTATTATTTAGTAAATAAAATATATGTTCCCATGTTTCAAAAGACGAAAATAAAAATTAATAATAAAAATGAAAAACTCAAGAAAGAAAGAATTTTTAAGTTATGAAAAATAAAAATCAAATCCTATTTAAATGGAATTAAATAATCAATAAAATAAAAGTTTCCTCTTTGTGGAACTAATTAAATAATTCAGAAACACATGATAACAAAATTTCAATAATTATAAAAATTAAAATTTCTAATTATTCTAAAGTTTGTTCTGTTCCCCGTCACCAAATGGATCGTTCCCCTCATAGTAAAATTTCTTGAATTTGTCCGCAGAAATTAGCAGATCACCACCTAATAAATGAATCACCCAATAAAATTTAGTTTAACGTCATTCCGGATCGCGGTTATAAATCATCCAATAGTTTAAGGTTGTTTCTAACCGCAGTCGTTCAAATAAAGTTAACCAATCACTAGTTTAAGTAAAATTTTGTACGGTTAAATTAAATGCAATACCGCGCCTCAAAATTAATAACATCATTAGATAAAGTCGTACATGTAACGAATGTAACGAATGTAACGACTGTAACGTGCATATAAATTTAGGTAGTACAATGCTTCTTTTTTGTAACCTTCGTTTTGGTTACACTTTACTATTTTTAATGCATAAGTTCGGACCGGTTTCTTCCTTTACTTAAAAAATCAATAAAATATTATTATAAAAGAAATTTTATTATGCCATTTAGTGAAAATAAATCAATTAATAATGCACTTAATAGATCGTATGCATTAATAGATTACAGTATTCATAATAATGTACACAAAAAATTTGAATTTAGAAAACAATTAATTCTTGATGATGAATCACTTACGGAAAATGAAAAATCTGAAGCAATAAGACTGATAACTAAACTTTATGATCTTGCTAAACTTACTTTTAATAAAGGAACAAAAAGAATTTGTGAAATTTGTAACCAAGAATCTTTAGCTACGACATATTGTGAATATTGTATTCGAAATTATTTAAAAGTAAAATTTTCAAATTGGACATCTGGAAATGTTATTATTGATAATTTAATACGAGAATGTCAAATGAAGACAATTTACCCAGGACTAATACCAGAATGGATTCCATATAATAATCTACAAAATATTGAATACCTAACAAAAGGTGGATTTTCAGAAATTTATACGGCAATATGGGTTAATGGGAATTTTAATGAATGGGATTCTGAATGGCAACAATTAAAAAGATTTGGAGATTTTTATGTAGTACTTAAAAGATTAGAAAATGTTGAAAATGCAAATCAAAATTGGATTGAAGAGGTTTGTAATTTAAATATTAAAATAGTTGACAAATTAATTTTTTTGTTGAAAATTTTATAATGGTTTATTTTATAGGCTAAATCACATTTAATTATAAGCAATAAATGGACTGATGTTGTCCAATGTTATGGATTAACACAAGATCCATCAAATGGAAATTATATGCTTGTAATGAATATGTTGGATATAGATTTAAGAAAATATTTACAACAAAATCATAATAATCTTACATGGAAAGAAAGAATACAAATTATTACTGATATAATTCTTGCACTTCGAAGAATTCATGAAGAAAATGCAATTCATAGAGATTTGCATTCTGGAAATATATTATATAATTTTGGTAATGCATTCCGTATTAGTGACCTTGGATTTTGTGGACCTGTAGATAAACCATTAAAAAGTATATATGGAAATCTTTCTTATATAGCACCTGAGGTTATTATTGGAAAAGAACAGAATTTTAAATCTGATATTTATAGTATTTCAATGCTTATGTGGGAAATTTCATCGGGACAACCACCATTTAATAATTATGAACATGATTATGATCTTGCAATGAATATTGTTAATGGTATGAGACCAAAAATTGTACCAGGAACTCCTTTAGAATATGAAAATTAAATGAAACAATGTTGGGATGCTGATGCATCAAAAAGACCTGACATTGTTACACTTAGGAAAAAAATGAAAGAAGTTAATTTATTTTATCAAAGTAAATCAAATGAATCATTAACTCAACCAGAAGAAAATAATAATTTTGAAATGGAAAATTATACTAGCAGTAGCAAACTATTTACAAGCAAACTTCATCAATTTGATAATCTTCCTGAACCAAGAAATGCAACAGAAGGTACTTATTGCTTTTTGTTAATTGCTTAAAGAGTGTATTAATGTATTAATTTTTTTTTTAATTTAAATATTATAATAGAAGAACAAGAAGGTATAAATTAAATAAATTATATAATTTTAATTTATAAAATTAATGATAACATTGTTAATTTTTTTATAGCATTTCATAGTAATAAATCATATGATTTTCACATTCCTAATAATAGTAAGTGCAATTACATTTATGTAAATATTATATAATGAAGCGTTACTCATTGACTTATATTTGCTTTTTTTAGTCGATGATTTTAATAATTTAAGTAGTAAAAACAATAGTATCTCAAAAATAATAAGTAGCATATTTAAAGGTAATTAAATAATAATATATTTAATTATTTTGAAATGAACGAATAACTTATATTTAAGATTATTTAGGCAAAAGATTAACCAACATATTTAAAAGAAGCTCAAAAAATGGCAAGTAATTAAAAGTATGTCAATTTTATTATAATTTTATTAATTTTATTAATATTAAATGATTTAATTTTTTTTTAGATACTCGAAATTGAAACAATGCGACAACAAACAATGAATCATCAAATTAAAGATTAATGGCTTATAATAATTACTTTATATTGTTTTTTTTCATTATTTTTTAATTTTAATACATTATATATTTAATAGACGATGACTAATTACATGATGCTTAAGATTTTAAATTGCATAACTTACTTCATTATTCAATTAGTTATAATTTTTTTTAAAAAACAAAACATAAAATGGTATTTTACTATCTCGTATAAAACATTCATGAAACCCTATTTTTTCTTTTTAAAGGGTTAAAAGGGTTAGTAATAAATAAATATATATATATTGTGTGAATTTTAAGTGATTTAAATGAACTTATTTAAGTATAAAAAAGAAAGAAATAAATAAATAAAAAATAAAAATATTACAACTAGAAGAAATAAAATAATTTAGATGTAAAAAAAAGCTTAATAAAGTTTAATTTATTGTATAATCAAGAAATTCCAGATAAATCACTTATTTGGAATCTCTAAATTCGACTATTTAATTATTTCTCAAATCTAATGAATATAATTTTATGGTCTTACAAGTATTAAATTCAAAAAAGAAGCTTAAGACGAACATTCCTTTTGAATCTGGTGATGTATTATAAAAAAGTTTCTATGTGATGTTAAATAGTTTAAAAATAGTTATTTTTAATAAAGTTAGACATTAATTTCTTTGTAGGAATCATCGTTTCACTTAAAACTTTGCAAATTAGGGCATTATTATTGGTATAGTATAACCTTCAAAGAACGCGAGTTTAAATTTAATTTAGTTTAATATATTTATTAAAAGTATCAGTAAAAGGAAAAAAGACTTAAGGCGATTTATCCACTTTGATAAATTGAAATGTTCAAAATATTCCTGAAATTATTTAAGAAAAATACTTGGGTTTATTATATATGTAGTACTTTATGATTTGTCGTGTAAGTTATTAAAATCCGCAGTATAAATAAAATCCGTAGGTTACCCTGTATAAATAATTTGAATTGTGTAACATTGAAAAGTGTGATATTCTTGCGTCCGTATTTAAAAAAAAAGTTATTAATTGCATTTTATTTGCGGTCATTTCAGCTCTCTTAGTAACCATTTCTATAATAATAATTTTTTTTTTTTTCAGTTTTTACCGTAAAGACCAAAACTATCTTTTTAGTCTTTTTTTTTATTAATTTTTTTATCCACCTTTTTATTATTGTTTCTTAAAATAAAAAAAAAAAAAGAATAAAAAAAAATTTTGGTTATTTTTATTGAATTTTTAGGAGATTTTTTTTAATCGGAAATTTATCAATTTTTGGAATTTTTTTTTTTAACCCAAAAAATATTGTTTATTCTTTTTTAGTTTGGGTCAAGACTATAATCAGATTAGAACTATATCCTACGTCTTTTCAAGATTTTTTTTAGTCAATGGATATTGTTTCTGACTAATAAATTCTCATGAAATTTTTTTTTGATATTAATGAATTTTTTTTTAGTGAAATTGTTTTTAATTAAAAAGACACATAACAATATTAATAATTTTGTAATTAAATCTATAATAAATTTTTTGATAAATCTATATAACTAAAAAATCTATCAACTATATAACTAGAGTAACTTGGTAATTATTAGTGAGTTATAATCATTATACTGTCAGATTGACTCGAAAATTTTGGGTCGGGTCATCAAACGTTTTTATAATTAAAAAATCATTTTTTACGTTAGATTTGATTAAAAATCAAAAAAATTGATTTTTTTGGTTAAAAACGTAAGACTTGGCGTTTTTGTAATTAAAAAATCAAAAAAAAAA